ATGCTCCCCCAGGCCGGCGGCCCTGTCCGCCGCCCGCCGCCGCCCCTCGGCTTCGCCGGCGGCGACGTCGATGGCGACGTCTTCGGCGACGGCGTCGGCGCCGGTGACGGCGACCGCGAGGGCGACGAGGCCGCCGTCGCCGGTCGACTGCGAGGGTGGCCGCGAGGGCCAGGGAGGGCGATGGCGGCGACTGGTGAGGGCGGTGGCGAGGGGGCTGGCGCTTTTTGGGGAGGTGAGGTGGTTGCGGGGGCCCATTCCCTCCTCGTCCACTTCTTTCCTTCGCACAACTGTACGGTGTTCTCCGCCACCAGATCGGCTGTGCTGCGCTGTTACAGGTTAGTACGCGGTCGCCAGTCGCAGGGTCATGCAGCGACGTTCGCTACTCCTCCTCCTCCTCCTCCTCCTACTCCTCCTCCTCCTCCTCTTCCTCCTCCTCTCCCTCTGTTCTCTTCCTCCCCTGCGTGCTTGCCTCTCCACACACGGACGCCTGCCCCGTATTTAGATGACCCCAGGCATCGAACCTTCCGATGGTGGTTTGTGTGTGTGTGCGTTTGTGTCTGGTGGCTTCCCAACAGCAGGAACAACTCTCCTCCTCCCTTCTCGATATCATTATCACCCTCATCCCTCCCACTCCTGTCTCGTCTTCCCCCCCCACAACCTTTTCATTCCCCCCTTGTCCCTTCTCCTTTCTGTTCCTCTCATCTTCCTTCCTTCTCCCCACGCCTCCTCCCTCTTGTTACTCCTCCCTCCGTCCGTTCTCCGACTGCATAACTGATCCTCGTCTGACAGAGGGCAAGGGGGTTTCTCCTGAGATGCCCACCTTTACGACCCCTACGCTTAAACCACCCAGTAGCTACACAAGTAGGTGGGCAGGGCTTTTCTATCTGTGGCTAGTGCCTCAGCGCGACGCGCATCCGTCTTAAAAGTTCCACCAGCTGCACGGATGGAAGGGGGGCATTTTCAACAACTGGCTTTCAGTGTAGCGCCGCGCACATTTGTATTCAATTATTGTCCACGCTTACGTACCCTTGAAGGGGAGTCGTGTACCCAGCGACACATTTTTCAATGGTAAATCGTGCGGATGACCGCTCCTTTCCAGAACGTGACTGCCGCCTCAGCGCCGCGCACATGATTCCTTTAAACGTGGGCTAGGTGGTGCAGCGGCCATGCTGGTCGAGATGGATAGTGGTCATCCTGCGGAACTCGCCTGCGCGTTCGTCCCAACTGTCTCCAGCGCCTGTACAGCTGGAAGGTGGTTCCATTTCGCAGACGAACATGTTTTCGGTAGCTCGTTATTCTGTTTGGGCAGAACGTATGTACTTGTGGAGCAGCTACACGAGTGGAGGTGGGCTCCTTTTCTAATCGGCGTCATCGTTTGAGATGTTTGTGTTCTTCTTGCGGTCCTTGAGACCACTGCACAGGGTGATTTGTTTTCAGATATGGTCCCTCGCTGGACCCTTGGACACTGTGATCCTACCTCGCCGCCGCCCTCATACGCAAGAAGCACGGGTGGCAGTTCATTTTCTAAGCTGGGCCCACGCATGCACTGCAGGGCCATTGGGCGCTCGTCTTTCAAAGGGGTCACTTCGAGGAGTGGCCAGGATGTCTTGCGAGGGCTCATGCGGGAGGGCCTTGGTGCGGGCGCGCATCTCGCCGCATCGTTGACGCATCTTGGGTTCACTCTTGTCCTCCTCCTCATGCCTCAGCTAGACATTCCTCGATTTTCACCCGTTCTCCATTTTGACTTCATGGCTGCGCTTATTTGAGACACAGGTGCTACACGAAGCAATGCGAGCGTCGCAGGGCTAGTACAGATGGTTTTTTTTCAATATCTTGCCCACCGGGGTGTTTCGGGCGCAAGGGCGACGCCACGAAAAGTCAAACCTGTCGCTTCCCTCACGCCTGCACAAAACATACTACGCACAATTTCTGTCCTGCGCTAACACTTCAATGGTACGTTGTTCCACGTCGCAGGGCTGTGGAAGGAGGAAGACGAGGAGGAGGCCCCAGAGGAGGATGATCGACGAGGAGGAGGACGAGGAGCGAACCTTTAGGAACATGAGAGAGTAAGGCGAGGGGGGGATGATTGAGGAGGTGTAGTTGAATGGAGGAGCAGGGAATAGGGTAGAAGAGAAGGAGAAGGAGAACGATGCATGAAAGAAAAGGGCTGAGCAATGAGAGCAAGAGTGGTACATACTCTACTGTTGCACGCTGTCGTGAGCGGTTCTCAGGGCAAGGTGCTCTGATCGACATATGCTTGCGTGCGTGACACCTCCCCAGGGCCGGCGATACGAGACTCAATGTTTAGTCGGCTGGCGTGGGGTTGGTCGAGCACTTTGGAAACATGTCCCCAGGGAGAGATCAAACAAGCGAGGTTGTTTTTCTTTCGGCTGCGGGCGTGCATTGTGTACGCAGTTCCGTTCACGTTCTGGGCCGTTCTCAGATTGGGTGACAGCAGCAGTCGAGCTCAGGCACACACTTGCACGAACACGCTTGAGCTGCCCAACTACTACGAGGCTCTCAAGGAGTCTGGGACTGTGGACGCTGACGACGCAGGCCAGCCGATCTCTCTCGCTTGAGTCAACCGGTGCCCCTTGGCCACAGCCCGAGTCAGGTAGCCCCATGTTGCCCCATCAGATCCCCCGAAATGGTAGGAGAAATGCGTGAGGAGGAGGCACAGAAGGAGGAGCAGGAGGAGGAGAGCTTCACGAGTTGGTTGGTTCCTGAATGGTCCTTGCCATGGTCGTGGCGTCTAGCGCCTAGAGGGTCTGCAGGACGGGGTCGTGGGTCCTGGAAGGTATGGGGACTTGATGGTTTGGGCGCTCGCCTCCCGTCGGTGGGGGGCATGGTGGAGATCTGGTGCTTTTTCATGGCGTGCGGGCACGCGGGGATCGGAAGGGTCTGCGGGGTATGGGGGTCTGATGCGTGGGGCTTGGCATCGCTCGGACGTGTGCATTTTTCCGTCGGCGAGGACCATCGAGGAGCATCCTTGGTCATTTGGCGAAACAGCCACGCACGAAAACGAAAAATACACAGGAAATGGACGTCCGAGCGATGGCCAGGGGGTGGTTCATGGTCCATTGGTGATCTGGGCGATCTGGGGCGTCTGGGGAACCTGGCGTCTGACGCACCTATGAAATCTCAGAGGTTTGGTACGTGTGTGTGCTTGGGGGAGCCATGCTGAGGTGCCTGGCGGATCTGGGGTCGCTGAGAGCCTGGTGGGCCCGAGCGTCTGGGTGTCCCTGGAGCCCAGAGAAGGTCTGCGAGCTCTTGCTGGGCAATCGGGGCATCTGGCAGGGGAGTCCGGGCGTCGAAGGGGTCGGGTCGTACAGTTGCAGGACTTTGCGGTGTTGGGGTAGTTCGGGGGGGGGCGAGGATTCGGGGTGAGCGCGGGGGTGTTCGCCACAAGAGGGGACAAAGCTATTCGCTACACGCCTGAGCACTCAAGAGGAGGAAAAGGAGGAGGTGGTGGTGGAAGGCGGTGTCCGTACGACTCCTAGCGCCTTCAGTCCACAATCAACAGATGGTGTTGGTGAGCGCCTTTCGATGCGCGCCCAGTGCGACTGAAAACAATCACGTGCAGATCGCATATCGCCTCAAATAGGGGCACTACACATTGGGGGGCCATACGCTGGTTCGCGAACGCAGCACATGCACCCCTCTCTCCCCGAGAGGGGGGGGAGAGAGAGATGACGAAGGGCCCAGACATGCGTCGTCTTGAAGTTGTCAATGCGCGGCCCCTGGAAGTCCCGACCCGTTCCCCGAGATCAGCGTTTCATCCTGCGTCGTTTTTTGACGGTCTCGGGGCCCAGGGAAGGCCCCCAGGCGCCGAAAACTCCGACACACCGCCCGTCTTGACTCTTGTGGGGACGCGAGGATGTCTGGGGGGGGGAAGGAGAGAAGTCCGAGGAAGCGGGGCACCAGGAGACGGAGGAGGAGCCGTCGGCCCCCTCACCTCCCACACCAGCTCCCCGACAGGGCAGCCGCGGACGCCTTGCGGCGCCCTCCCCGCCGCCGCTCCAGAGAGCTCGGCCGTGGGGCTCGGCTCCCGTTGGCCTTCGGAGCCCAAAAATAGTCAAAACAGATTCCAAACATAGTCTGGGGATTATTATTTTTGTTTAGCATCTTTTGGCCTTTTTTGCGTATTTTGGAGGTATTTCTTTTTTTGTTCGTCGAAAATCCCCCTGTAGGGGGACACGCCCGACATAACCGGGGGGCTTCGGGCCCCGCCCTCCGCGCCCACGTGCCCCCAGACATGCTGGCCTGCCGACGCGGGCGCGGTGGGCGCATGCGAGCGCAGCCGCTGGGGCCTTCGGTGGAGCCCCCTGTGGGGCCACGACCTTCGTGGGCCCTGGAAACGACAGGGCCGTTTTTTTACCGGTTCCGTTTTGCCGTTTTTGTTGCCGGTTCCGCGGCCGTTTTCTTACCGGTTCCGTCGCCGTTTTTTGACCGGTTCCGGCCCCGGTTCCACTCCTGGAGCCGTTTTTGTTTCCGTTTCCGGTCGCCGTTTTTTTGTTGTTTCCATTTTCAAGGGGCACTTTTTCGGAAACGGTGAAAAAACGGCCCTGCCGTTTCCGGGGCCTACTAAGGCCACGACACGCGCGAGGGGTGTGCCGGCATGTTTGATTGGCGCGGAGGGCGGAAGCAGGGAGGAGAGGAGTGAGGAGGGGGAGGAGGGAGGAGAGGAGTGAGGAGGGGGAGGGGGAAGGAGAGGAGACGCAGGGCGCCGTCTCTCCAAAGCGAGGGCTCAACACCACAGGATGGTTGGGCAAACACGGGAGGAAAAGCCTGCCCCGGGGAAGGGTGGGGTTTTCGCGGACCGCGCATTGAAGCACTCAAGACATGGTCTGTATTGGTATGGGCGCGCGTCGAGATGTTCTGGCGCCTTCTGGCCCGGCATGATTCTCCACGGGCGGGTGAGGCTTGCCAAGGGGAGTGTCGCATCGGAGGCGGCTTCCCTGGCAGTGTTTCTTCCTCAAGGCGCGCATCGGCCGCACTGGTCTTCCTACTGCGCCTCGATGCTGCGACAGCGGCTGCCGAGCCGTGCAAAAAGGTCGAGGCGCCTGGGTGCCCAGGGGTCCCTTCGGACGTGGGGGCGTGACCTGCCCCTCGTGGCGGACTTCGCCGCTCCTCAGCCCCGAAGCTCGGAGCGGGAAGGGCCGCCCTGCAGCGCCTCGCCGGGCGGGGGCAGGGCGGGTGGCACCGCCGACATCGCCATGCTCTCCCTCGAGCGTGCGCCGTCGGCGGCCCATACCCGCTGGATGTAAGGGCGTGCCTCCACCGCATATCTCTATACGTATGTCTATACATATATGTATATGTATACATACACGCATACTTATGTACATACACATACGGGCAGATACGGCTCACACTCACCATGACGTACATACAAATATTTATGCACAGACTAAAAGAAGCACAGGCGTACACATCTATGTATACACATAACGCTACGCGCACATGCACATCTATACATATGTCTATACACATATATACACACGCAGACAACTGCATGCAAAGCCCAGTCACACACATATTCACCTGCGTATGCATTTTAATTTGCATCTACATGTGTGCATGCAGTGTATATACACTCATATAACTACATATATTGTACACGTACATCTACAATTACATATACATGAACCACGCCATCTGCATATACATACGCATACACGCAGACATACACATATACATATGCATGTACGTATACATAAATCACGTGCACTCACATACTCGTATACATATCATCATGCGTATTCACATACATATAGCTACCTATACACACGTGCCTGAGTACGTACATCTTCATATTTTTGTATACGAGTAATATGTTTGTATACATAAATATATACATACATACCTATTCATATATATATATATATACATATATATATATATATGTATGCTCAAGCATGCAGCTGGTTTCGGCCCCACCGAGGGGGCCACTTCTCGCCGGGAAGCGCCGGAAAATCAGCTACGTGAGCTGATTCTCACACCCCCCTTTGCTATCCCCCCCCTTTCGCCCGACCCGAGGGTGGCCCTGCGTGGCCGCCAGCACAAAACTAAACGCTGGATCCCGAAAGGGAAAGCATGGGGACCAGCGCCCGCGGCTCTCCCCCACGCCTCCTGGGCCGTCGGTCCTGCACATCTGGCCTGCCAAGGCGAGGAGGGAGGAGGAGGAGGGAGGAGGAGAAGGAGAGGGAGGAGGAGAAGGAGGAGAGGGAGGAAGAGGAGGAGGAGGAGGAGGAGGAGGAGGAGGAGGAGGAGGAGGAGGAGGAGGAGGAGGAGGAGGAGGAGGGAGGGAGGAGGAGGAGGAAGAGAACGAGGAGGAGGAGGAGGAAGAAGAGGAGGATAAGGAGGATAAGGATGAGGAAGAAGAGGACGAGGACAAGGAAGAAGGCGTTATGTTTCCTCATATTCCCCCTTCCTCTTCCACCTCCCGACCACCTTGCTCCGCATCCTCCGCGTCGCTGTATCTCCAAGACGGGGAGGATGAGGAGGGCTATGCGCTGTTGGTTTTCGACGGCGGCCAGTCGACGATTCTCTCAACATTACATCACCTGCGTATCATATCCCTGTGTCCCGTCTTGGGCATTTATCGCGTGGTGGCCGCCAGACGGCGAGGAGCATGGTGCAGCGGAGAAGGACACTGGGGGGAACAAGGGAGGGTGGGAGAGGGCGAAGTTTCGGCGGTTACGGAGGGCTGCGAGCGTTGTCGGTGGATGTCCGCGGTTCCCGCTTGTAAAAGAGGAGGTGGAGGATGACGAGCAGAAGGAGGACGAGGAAGAAGACGACTACCTGACCGACCAAAACGACGGCAGCGACCAACGCGGCGACCAGGACGACGGGTACGGCGACCGAGGCCCAAACCAGAGTGAAACAGCCGAAGCATATGCCCAGATCGACGGTCAAAATGACGACGACGACGACGACGACAGCCAAAACGACGACGATGGCGGTGGCGGCGCCGGCACGCTGGGCCGGGCGCCCTTGCGGCCAGCCGCCCTCGACGCGCGGCTGCGCGCCGTGCTGGGGGAGCGGCTGCGCACCGCCATCCGCGAGACGGGCGGCTACGAGCTGGACGCGGTGGGCTGCCCCGAGGACCCCTCGGCGAAGGGCGGCGGAGACGTTGTGGAGGAGCAGGTAATGGAGGATGACGATCAATAAATGACCGGGGGTCGTGTTCACGCGGCGGCGCCCGGGATGACGATTAGAAAAAACCGGCCGCGGGCTGGAAAACTATTTTTTACCTAACAGCGAAGACTGATAGGTTTCTAGTAGTGTCAAAAGAGCTCACAGATCACTCCACAGGGGGGTCCGGGCAGGTGTTGGGAGTTGCCGGGCGGGCCTGTGCCGAACTCGTTTTTCACCAACAGTCACACACTTCGTGCTCTTCGACTTCCCAGAACTCCATTCCCAGGCTCATTCTGAATAACCGGATGCAACAGTCACACACTTCGTGCTCTTCGAGATCCCAGAACGCCATTCCCGGGCCACATTTAGAATAACCGGATGCAACAGTCACACACTTCGTGCTCTTCGAGTTCCCAGAACTCCATTCCCGGGCCACATTCTGGAGGGCCGGATGCAACAGTCACACACTTCGTGCTCTTCGAGTTCCCAGAACTCCATTCCCGGGCCACATTTTGGATGCCCGGAGCCAACTGTAGGCCACTTCGTGCTCTTCGAGTTCCCAGAACTCCATTCCCGGGCCACATTTTGAATGCCCGGAGCCAACTGTAGGCCACTTCGTGCTCTTCGAGTTCCCAGAACTCCATTCCCGGGCCACATTTTGAATGCCCGTAGCCAACTGTAGGCAACTTCGTGCTCTTCGACTTCCCAGAACTCCCATTCCTGGGCCACATTTTCAGCAGGGGCAAGAGCACGACGAGGAGGAGGACGAGCAAGACCAGGAGGACGAGGACGAGCAGGAGCAGGACGAGGAGCAGGAGGAGCAGGAGAAGAAGGACGAGCAGGAGGAGGAGGAGGAGGAGGGGGGGAGGAGTACCAGGAGGAGGAGGACCACCAGGAGGAGGAGGAGGAGGAGGAGGAGGAGGAGGAGGAGAGAACACCAGGAGGAGGAGGCGAGCAAGACGAGGAGGACGAGAACGAGGACGACCAGGGAGAGGAGGAGGAGGAGGAGGAGGAGGGGAGGGGGAGGACTACCAGGAGGAGGAGGAGGAGGAGGAGGAGGAGGAGGAAGAGGAGGAGGAGGACGAGGAGGAGGAGGAGGAGGAGGACGAGGAGGAGGGGGGGGGAGAGCACCAGGAGGAGGAGAACGAGGACCACCAGGAGGAGGAGGAGGAGGAGGAGGAGGAGGAGGAGGAGAGAGCACCAGGAGGAGGAGGACGAGCAAGACGAGGAGGACGAGAACGAGGACGAGCAGGAGGAAGAGGAGGAGGAGGAGGAGGAGGAGGCAGGAGAAAGAGGAGGAGGAGGAGGAGGCAGGCTGAGGCTGAGGCTGTGACTGCGACTGCCGTTGCCGCTGCGACTGTCATCGCGAATGCGACTACGACTGCGAGAACAGCAGAATTCGACAACTGGATTTTCATCTGAATCTTAAGGGGAATTCTTTCAGATATGCTTCTACACATCGCTGTTAGGCTGCTTTGCCGGGATAATTTTGTTGTATCGTTCTCCTCCAGTCAGAAAATTGTGCAGAAATAGCAGAAAATTCTTTACGCTTCGCGTATCCCCACCAGCCCATCTCACAACAGCAACTCTTGCGAAGCATGCCGACAGTTGTGTTTTTCAGGCGTGTGTCCGCTTGCCCCCGCATAGCTCCCCTGTTACTCCTTCCTCCCGCCTCCTTGTACATCCTCCTTGTGGGGGGAGCGGGAGAAGGACGAGGCGGAGGAGGAGGGAGAGAAAGCGCTCCTCGTGGTTTGAGTCGTTTGGGGTTTCTCGTCCTGGTGTGAGTCGTTCGGGCCCTTCTTCCTGGTCACCGGGCTCTTCTTCCTGGTGTGAGTCGTTCGGGCTCTTCGTGGTGTGAGTCGTTCGGGCTCTTCGTCCTGGTGTGAGTCGTTCGGGCTTCTCGTGGTGTGAGTTGTTCGGGCCCCTCGTCCTGGTGTGAGTCGTTCGGGCCCCTCCTCCTGGTGTGACTCGTTCGGGCTCCTCGTGGTGTGAGTCGTTCGGGGCCCGCGTCGTGGTGTGAGTCGTTCGGGCTCTTCGTGGTGTGAGTCGTTCGGGCGCCTCGTCCTGGTGTGAGTCGTTCGGGTCCTTCCTTGTGGTGTGAGTCGTTCGGGCTCTTCGTGGTGTGAGTCGTTCGGGCCCCTCGTCCTGGTGTGAGTCGTTCGGGCTCCTCGTGGGGCCTCGTTGGGGGCCTCGAGGAGCCTCTTGGGGCCTCTTGGGGGCCTCTTGGGGGCCTCTTGGGAGCCTCTGGGGACCTCTTGGGGCCTCTTGGGGGCCTCTTGGGGGCCTCTTGGGGGCCTCTTGGGACCTCCTGGGGGCCTCTTGGGGGCCTCTTGGAGGCCTCTTGGGAGCCTCCTGGGGGCCTCTTGGGGCCATCTTGGGGCCTCTAGCGACCTCCTCAGAAGCGCAAATGAGCGCTGCCCCCTGAGAAGGACAAAATGAGCCCAAAACCTTAGTAAAATCAATGATTTTGCTATGAAGGAAGAGGAGCGCGGCCCCCTCAGAAGGCCAACATGGGGCCAAAACCCTAGTAAAATCAATGTTTTTGGATTCACAGAAGAGGAGAGGGATTTAAGTGCGCCCCCCCGTCGGGGCCAGAATCCTCGTGAGGGTCGTCGTTTTTTGGCCCTCCCAGGAGTCGAAATTGACCCCCCTGACGACCCGCGGGACTCCCTCTCCAGGCCCAGGGGGAGGGGGGAGGGGGAGGGGTAAACCCCTCCCCGAAGGGGAAGAAGGGGGGGTGAGGACAGAGGGGGCTCGCTAAACCACTCACGCCCTAAAGGGCTGGTGGGACTATTTTTTTTTTGATTGTTCTCTCCCATTTTTTGTATGAGTCGTCATCCCGCATGGCCGATGCCGCTGCTCGTCCTGGGGAGCCCTCGGAGCTCGGCGCCAGGGCCGGGCTCCCGTCGGAGTCCTTGTCGGAAGGCTCCCCGGGTATTCAGTCGGCCAGGGGGCTGCATGGTCGGTGCCAGTTTGCTCCCCCTAAGACGACGCGAAGATCGGGTCAAAATCGGATCGGGATAACTCGAAATCTCTGAGAATCGGCGGGTTTGGAGGATGTATTGGGCGCCGCGGCCGCTCCAGAGCGTTCCGGAACGCTCTGAGAGCGCTCCGGAACGCTCTGGAGCGATTTATCCCGATCCTAGCCCTGTTTTATCCCCCAGAAGTCAGCATCGTCCTGGCAACGTGTGCGGCGGCGGCGGCCCTGAGGATGTGCTCGAGGAGGGCGACGACCGACGACGGCCAAAGCGACGGCGACGGCGGCGACGGTGGCGGCGGCTACAGCGGCAGCGACGCGGGTGGCGGGGTACGAGCTGGATGCGATTGGCTGCCTCGACGAGTGGCCAGGTTAGTCGGAGGTGTTTTGTCCTCGGACGTCGTAACCCCACACATTTTTCCAGGCCGCGGCCAAGATGCGTTTGGTTTTTGTTGGTGGGCAATGTAGGGCGGCAATCAAGAACTGCCTTGGGGCGTTGCGTCTCGCAGCAGCGTTCCGGGCGATGGTGAATCAATTGGATTGTAGGTCCGCTTGTGGGCCACGCCGCTGGGCTGCCGCGCGCGGGAGAGCACCGCCTCGGGCGGCGGCTCCAGGCGGGCCCGCGCGGGGCCGCCGGCCGCCCACGCAGTCAGGACGACGGCGACGAGGAGGAGCTCGCGCCGCCGAAGGGCCGCGGGCCATCGTCCCCGCGACCGCCCGAGGGGCCGTCGGGCGCGGAGGAGGACGGGCCGCGCCAGCCGCCGCCGCCGCCGCCGCCGCGGCTGTCGTCGGCGTCGTCTCTGGCGCCGCCGTGGCTGTCGCCGCCGTCGCTCTCGTCGCTGTCGCTGTGATCGCCGTCGCCGCCGCCGCCGTCGAGGCTTTCGCCGTCGTCGTCGTCGCCGCCGCCGCCGCCGTGGCCGTCGTCATCATCGTCGTCGTCATCGCTGACGCCGCCATCGTACAGGAGTGTTGCTGGTGTGTGGAGGCGGTTCGGGGTGCTCCCGCTTCGGCGCCGGCTGTGGTGTCTCTGGTAGCGAGGATCCTGGCCGAGCGCGGGCTCGGTCCCAGATCCTGGCTATTTGAAATTCACGAGTCACCAACTACCAAACCACCCCAACCCAACCCGAAGGCCCAAATTTGCCATCCATTTCCAGTGTGGGGGGGGTCGGGGAACGTTGAGAAAACACATATGAAGCCCGTACCCCCCCCAACCCGAAAGTCGGGTCTTCGGGTTGGGTTGGGGTGGTCTGGTAGGTAGTCAACGAGAGTCATCGACAACGGCTCCCGCTGGACACTTCCCCACAATTTGCTGATCGACTGCCTGGCCAGAGACCTCCTCACACTCAGCAGTTGCGCTCTCGCCCGCGAACTCCTCGCAATCGACTCAGGATTGTGAAGGCCCAGGCGGCCCAGCTGCGACGACGACTGCTCCCGTCCGATATTTCGTCACAATTCACTCAGAGACGCCCTGGTCAGAGACGTCTTCACTCTCAAAAGCGGCGAGTTCGCTAGAGGTTTTCTCGCATATTGGTGAGGGGCCCGCGTCAGGAGCGTTTGCTTAGCATGTCGCGTTGCTGGTTCTGGCCCACCACGCTTTGGAGCGATACTAGAAGCACGCCCCAGTTCCCAAGCATCAGCGCTCCGAGCTTTTCCCACCCCCCCGCCGCACCAAGCAGAGCGACACGCAGCTTGCAGGGCAAAGCGAGTCGCAGGGGGCGCCGGCGCGACACGCTGCCGTGCTCTTAGAGGCGCCCAGATCAGAGACGCCCCTGCACTGGGGAATGGCGCTCTCGCCCGAGACCTCCCGGCGATGTGTTCAGGAGGGAAAGGAACACACAGACACAATTCATCGACGAACCCCAGGAAAGTATGGGAAAATATGGAAAGTGGAGGGGAAGACAAAAACCCAGAAAATATAAGAAAATATAGGGAATCTCTTCGTTTGTGTGTATCTATTTGTGTGTCCTGGGGCCCCTTTATATGTGTTCAGGTGGATGGAGCAGCAGCGGTTCTCGCCCGACAAGGCCTCGCCATTCACGCAGTGTTGCCTCGACACCCGCGCACGCTGCTCACGGAGCGCACTCTCGCCGCCCGCGCGCCGGGCTGCCAGGGTGCTCCTAGCAGTGGAGCGGCCCCCCCCAGCAGTCCTCCTCCTCCTCCTCCTCCTCCTCCTCCTCCTCCTCCTCCTCCTCCTCCTCCTCCTCCTCCTCCTCCTCCTCCTCCTCCTCCTCCTCCTCCTCCTCCTCCTCCCCCTCCGTCGTCCATCCTCCGTCTGCCCGTCTGGGTGTGCGAGCTGTGCCTTCGTGTGCACTATCAGACCTCCTCGGGGTACATGATATATATATACACATATAGTTATATGTATCGATATATGTAAGAGTGTGTACATACATACATATATATATATATATAAGTCTATACAGCTATACAATATGTATATACACACATATATAGATATATAGGTAAGTATGTACACGTACACACATATCTATATGTGTATTGTGTATATTTATACCCTTGAGGTTTTGGCAGCCTGGGCGCGGGCGGGGCCGTGGGGCACCCCCGGTCGCCCCCCCCCCCCCGGAGCAGGCCCAAGTGGCATACCTGCTTCCTCTAGGGAGGGCCACGGGGCTCTGAAGATCGGAGGCTGCTGGACCTCCTGCCCCGACGCGTCGATTGAGGCATTGGCCGTTGTCGGCTGGCGGGAGGGCGCCGCGGCCGTCAGTGTTGCGGGTCCACGTCCGTCGGTTTCGGTCCCCGGCCGTTTGCACTGAGGGGAGGTGGAACAAGCGGGGCGACGTGACCGGCCTCCTGCCCCCTCTCCCCGCGCGGCCTCGCTCACAGGATTTCGGCCACGCTCGCAGGACAACCCTGCGCGTCCTGCGCCGTGGCCGGTGTTTGCTCGCTGCTTGCTTCTGTGAACCGTGCGTGGGGGCCAGAAACAGGTTTTCACTGAGGGAGGCTTGTCCACCGCCAAAAAATCAGGAGGGAAAAAAACACACAGACACAATTAATCGTCGATTCCCCAGAAAAGATGGGAAAATATGAGAAGTGTGGGGGAAGACAGAAACCCAGAAAATATGGGAAAATATGGGGGATATTTTTATTTGTGTGTATTTATTTGTGTGTCCTGGGGCCTCTTCAACTTTGCTTGGCAGGCGACACTCCAGGTGCGAAAACGGGCCCGTGGAGCACCCCATTAGCGAGACTCCACGGGGAGGCCCACGTGCCGTGCCTCCCGCATCGGGAGGGTCACGAGCACGAGGTGATCTGTGTAAGATATGGGTCTGCGTTCGAGATTCTTCGGGGGAGAAAAAGATACAGATACGTGTTGTCCCCCTTCGTTTTCGGCCTTTCCTGGTCCTCCTGGGGAATCCTCGTTGTCACCGCTGGATTCGCCTCGAAATTCTGGTCAGAACGCACCCCAAGAGAGGTCCGGGGACAACACGTATCCGTATCTTTCCGCCCCCCAAATTATGATAGTGAGTTGGTCCGCGCGTGAACTAGGCTGCGTATGGGTGAGTCCGAGTGCGAGTGCGAGAGCGTCGGAGGTATCCCTGGCTTGAGTGTGAGTGTGAGTGAGCGTTGGTGAAGCCAGTCTGTGTGTGAGCATGTCGGGGTAGGAGTACGTCTGACTATGACTAAGGTTCACTATGAGTGAGCCCGTTCATCAGTAGGTCAGACTGCGAGTGCGTCAGAGTATGGGTGAGTCTGAGTACGAATGAGTTTTTGGATGAATGAGTCTGAATGAGTGAGTCTGAGTTTGACTGAGTGTGAATCGGTCTGGCTGTGAGTTCCTGGGGGTGCGAAGGAGACAAGAGTAATGGGGGTGAGGAGGTGAGGAGGTGATGAGGCGCAGACGTGACACAGGAAACAATAATAACCCACTGATTAGAATTTATGTGAAGTATTCAAATGGTGGTCCTCGCTTTCGTCGTTGTCGTTTCCGCTGTTGACGTCGTTTTCCTCGCCGCCGCCATTGCCGCCGTCGTTGTTATCGTGAACGTCGTCGTCGGCCGCCGTCGTCGTCGTCGTCGTGGTCGACGTCGTCGTCGTCGTCGTCGCCGCCGCCGCCGCCGACGCCCCCGTCACCGCCGTCGTCGTCGTCGTTGTTTGCGTCGTCGTCGCAGCCTTCGTCGCCATCTTTTCCGTCTTCGTCGCTCCCCCTTTCAACTCCCATTTCTCGTTCCTCGTCTCTTTTCTCCCCCCGCTCGGCCCTTGCCCTGATCCCCACTCCATCCTCCTCATTTCCATCTTCTTCCTCCCTACCTACATTCCTCCCTCCCTCCAGCCCCTTCATTCGGATGCAACTCCCGGAGGTTTAATTCAGCACAGGCGCTGGTAAATCCGTTGCCGAAAACGGGCCGAATCCGGCACAATCCAATTCAATCCCGCGTAATCCGGCATATAGGGCCGGATATTGGGGCTCATCTAGGTGAACGCAGTAGGATGACCCCTTATTGGGGCTTAAGCAGCAATTCGAATCGTTCTCGCGTAGCCCTCGCAGGGGTGGCCTCCTCTCCCCGCCTTCTCCTCCTTGCCCGCGTTGTCCTGCTCCTCCGTCTAAAAACGCCGTCCTCCTCCTCCTTTTCTGCCCCGCCCGTCCTTGCTCCTCCCATCCCACCTCTCCTCCTCCTCCTCCTTACCTTCTCCTCCTCGTCCTTACCTTGTCCTCATCCGCTCTCCGCCGTTCGGCGGGCGACCGCGACTCCGACGGCGAGGGCGACCGCGACGGCGGCGGCGACGGCGGACCGCCCTGGGATCCGACGCTGCGAAAAGTCACAGCATCGCGAAAGCATTTTTGTCGATGCTCGTTTCGGGGACCTTCCTGGAGCCCACCTAACGGATCTGTTCGACCCCAGTTCGACTCAAGTTCGACTCAAGGTCGACTCAGGTTCGACTCAGGGTCGACCCAACTCGACTGACGTTCGACGCAGCTTCGACGCACGAGTGGAGCGAGTGGCTCCAGGAATGTCCCCAGAACGAGCATCCAACATTTTCGGATTTCCGGGCCCGACCTTTCTGCGTTGTTGTACCGGGGGCGGCCAAGAGGGGGCTGATGACCAGGGGGGTGGGCATCACGGCGGGGGCCATGATACCTCCTCAGATGTCATCGATCTGTGATGGTCCCTGGGGCCCGACACCAGGCGACAACGACCCTTGCGAACAGAGTAGCAGCGCCCGGATCTCAGACCACGTCTTCCAGCAGCGGCCGCGGCCGATTGCGAAGGCCTTGCGACCGATGCCGCCGACCCTGATGACGACGAATATGAAACCGAGGGGGAGAAGGAGCAGAAGGAGGAGGAGGCAGAGGAGGAGCAAGAGGAGTGGGAGCAAGGGGAGGAGGAGGAGGAGGAGGAGGAGGAGGAGGAGGAGGAGGAGGAGGAGGAGGACAGGAGGAGGACAGGAGGAGGAGGAGGACAGGAGGAGGAGGAGGAGGAGAAGGAGGAGGAGGAGGAGGAGGAGGAGGAGGAGGAGACCACGGCCTCCAGCAGCGGCCGCGGCCGATCTCTGCACCCCGGCCGCAGCACGCAGCCAGCACCCCCCGCCAGGGGCCGCAGGCGCAGGCCGCCGTGGCCAGCTGCTCGTGGCGCAGCGCGTCGTCGGCGTCGCCGGCGACCACCGTGCCGCTCGCGTCCCCAGGGTCGTCGGGGTGGGCGCAGGGGATCTCCGCACAGCGGCTTGGCAACTTGCTTGCGTTGGGCAAAGTTTGACCGGCTGAGATCGTAGCGTCAGGGTGGTGAACGAGCGGCGCAGCGCAAAACATCCGGGCCCAGTCGCTTTGGCCAACAAGCCAGATCTAGGTGAGCGCAGCCAAGAACAGACGGCACAGAAAAAGTTCACTTGGTCGTTCACCTGGTTGTGAGGGGATGGATACGTTCACTTGGTCGTGAGGGGATGGAGGTGATCATAATGCGCAGATGTGGTGAAACCAAGTCCCCTGACACCTCCTCTTCCTTCTCCTCTTCCTCGCGCGGAGTGGAGGGGCAGAAGGGGGAAGGGGGCGAGGAGAAGGAGGAGGGAGAAGGGGAGGGGGAGAGTGCATACGGAAAGGGCGAGGGGGAGGAGGGGGATGAGGAAAGGGCGAGGGGGAGGAGGATGAGGAAATGGCGAGGACGAGGAGGATGAGGAGGAGTAGGAGGACGAGGAGGAGGAGGAGGACGAGGAGGAGGACGAGGAGGAGGAGGAGGAGGAGGAGGAGGAGGGGGAGGAGGTGTGTGTGTGTGTGTGTATGTGCGCCCTGCTTGTGCTTGGTCTGCAGCTGCACGTGTCGCCGCGCCGTTTGCCCCAGCGCGCGGCCCCACGTCTCGGGGAGGGCGCCGCGGGCACGGTGGGCAAACGCCGCCTCGGGCGCGGTGGGCTTGGCGTCTGTTCCGCCGCGATGCCGGCGTTGACTGTTTGGGCGCGGGGGAATGAGGCCCCGCCTTCCTGTGCCCTGTCTCCCTAATTCAAGCTGTGCGTAGCCCGCCTAGCTTTTAGCGGAAGAGGTTCGCTCTCGCCCCGCCGACAAAAAAAATTGTTTGGGCGCGGGGCGCAGGGCTCGGCGTGAGTTTGTCGTGGTGCCGGCGCGGTCTTATTTTGGCGCGACGAGAGCAAACGGCGCGCAACATGTCGTGCATAATCTCGCTCTTCTTCGTCTTTCGGAGGCGAGTCGGAGACCATGGGAGGCGGTGCAACCTCGCAGCCCGGTGCCCCAGAGGGGGGGCGGCGGGCGTAGATTCTTGCACATTGACAGCGGCACGCGTACGTACAACAATTCCGATGTAGATTTGCAAAGGCGCATACGGCACACATGACAGTGCACGACTGCGCCAACGCGTTTGCACCGGTGTGCGCAATGCGTAGGTGCAGGTCGGGCACCCCGAACAGACCGGGCATGGCCATGCCTGCGCGAACATTCGATTGTCCACGCGGACCCACTTGCCGTCCTGGAGACGCCTGTATGCACCATGTGCGTACGTCTAGCATGCTCCGCTTTTCTGCGTCGGTCGGGGCGGCCAGCCAAGGCTTCGCCCATGTCAGATTTTAAGTACAGCTCTGACTCGACTGACTTCCGATTGTCTTGTGCAGCCTGTCAGGTCGCCTGCTGACCAGACATCTGCGTACAGCGACGCTGGGCGCGGGACTCAGCTTCTCCTGCTCGAGGCGAGTTGTGTTCTCCTTCCCCGTGCAGTAGTACTACCACAACAACGATTCCTAGTTTGAGTCGCATAAATGAAGACACGCGCAAGAAGAGTAAGTTGTCTTCTCTCTACTAATACTAACCATCTCTGTTTCCACGACCCACGAGTAGAGGTACGAGTAGCCGTACTGCAACTAATATTTGATTGTGTAGCAGCGGTACTCGTACACGTGTGTGGTCGAAGTTTGGCAGCAGTAGTCGCAGTGACAGCCGTAGTCGTGTTAATATTAGCAAGCGAGAAAACTAGTATGCGCAAATCGATTTCCAGTCTGCATATCACAGACATGCCATGTTTTTGGGGATGTCGGCTCCTCTGATCGGCGGGGCCGTTTACCGCGCGAGATGTGATGGCACAGTCGCATTCTCCTCCACGTTTGCCACCGCCGCGTCGGCTCAAGCTGCAGGGCTCCAAGCCTCTCGTCCACGATGCCTCGGCAAAGGGGCACGCTGCGACGAGCGCGATGCAGCAGCACGGCGCTGGACCCCCTGGTGCGCTCACTCGGTTAGCGCTCGACTTCTCCAACATCAGCTCCCCGGTGACAGTCGTGGTGGACGCCGGCGCACTGTTCCAGAAGCAGGTCGTCGCAAGCAGTTGTTCTCCCCCAGCCCCCGACGATTCGACGAAAGTGGAATCGCGCAGAAAACGAGTGGAACCCTAGGGTACACCCCCAGGGGGCTAGTCGGACGCACCCCTATCGAGGGTGGCCGTTCCCCCCATCGCATGTCGGAGGGTGGGGCCCCGAATTGTCAGCCCATGCGAAAACCTCACGACCCAGACATCCGACGTCTCGATTTTTTCGAGACACGGGCCCCCGACCTCCCGACCACTTCCCCGTGACCGGTTTTTCACTCCGAGTCGTTTTCTGACGGTCCCGAGGCCCGACGAGGGCCCCGAGAGGCCGAAAACGACGAAACACCTCCGTCTCGATTTTTTCGACACGCCCGATGTCTGGGGGAGCCTGGGACGGAAAATCGCCACATCCCCCCCTGTGAGGTCGAGCTGGACCTCCCGACGCGCCACGGGCGCGGGGCGCGGCGGCGGCCGTACTGCACCGCGCCCACGGGCGCGGCCGAGCCGCGACGAGGGGCCGAGGCCGAGCGCCGCGGGCCCGGCCGCTACCTGCCGGACCTGGTCGTCGTCTTCCCGCTGCAGGTCGGTCGACTAGGCGTGAAAGTGACTTTTCGCCGGAGAGACCCTTTGTCGGGCCGGACGAAAGGGGGGATTGGGAAAGGGGGGCTACGTACGAAATTTGGTGCATGCAGCTGGTTTGGGGCCTCACCGAGGGGCCCATTCCTCGATACGTAGCCGCCTCCGGCGCCGGGAGGCGCCGGGAAAATTGGCTACGTGAGCTGATTCTCAAACCCCCCCTTTGCTATCCCCCCCTTTCGCCCGACCCGATTTGGTGCGGGCACAGATGGGCCCCCAGGTGAGAGGAGCGATAGCAGCGGCCTGCGCGCTTGTGTTTGGCCCCCCCCCCCCCCCCCACGGCCCCAAGAAGCCGCGCACCAGAGGTCACTCTTACCCAGGGTCACTCTTACGCGTAGCCGAGTCTGCACGAACGAAGTGGGCACTGGAAGCATGGGTACAATGCCAAACAGCGCATCTTGTTCATTTTGAACAGGACTCGCTGTCCACGCCGCTGCGGCCTGTGCCCATTCGAGACAGAAGGCCGCCTGCCCAACAAGCGGCCGCTGCTGGTTTGGGACAGCATTTGTTGTTGGGCATTGGACCCATTCTTTCCGTACCCATTTCGGGCGTCCAAAGCAGGGGAGCCGGGTGGTCCCAGCGCGCAGGGTGAGGATCGGAGGAGGAGAAGTTGCCGATACCGCAACCCCTCCCCCGATGTCCCCCCCTTGTCGGGCTTCCTGGGAGGCCCTCGTCGCCACCGCTGGATTCGCCTCGGAGGGCTGGTCACAACGCACCCTGGGAGAGATACCGGAAGTCGCGGTATCGGTACCTTTGGGTTTCCCCATGAGGACCTTGCTTCAGGACGTGCTGGTGGCGGACGACGGGTTCGACGAGGAGGACAGTCTTGGCATCTACTACGAGCTGAAGAGGCTCAGGGCACGCGGCTCTGACGTTACGCTGCAGGAAGTGCGAGAGGCGCTGCTCGCGGATCTCAAGAGGCACTTGGCCAAGCAGCACTGCAGCATACGGTCCTTCCGATCCCGCGACGACGACGAACTCTTCCTCCTCGTCTCGCTGGGGGACCCCTTTGTGAGGGCGCAGGACGACGAGGTTGCCAAGACTTTCGCGCACAAGCGGCGGTACAGCTTCCAGACGAACTTCACCGCGGCGAACGCGAACGAGAAGCTGAAGGTGAAGCAGAGCATGAGGTCCGCCCTGGAAGCCGCGTACCTCGAGTACGACAGGGACGTCGTGGAGGACGCCGTGGCTGTGTTCGGCCTCTTCGGGCACGAGGGGTCGGACTCGAGGAGCTCGGGCATGTTCCGGGAGTACTCGGACGGCCTCGCGGGCACGCCCGGCTCCTTCATGCGCACGGTGGACCGGGTGAGGCTGCTGCTTGGCAGCCTCGAGCAGCTCTTCGACCTGGACGACTGCCGAGGCGAGGGCCTGATCTCCACCTACTACGCCGCGCACAAGGCCTCTAAGCTGCTCGAGTTCCGCTGGGGGCAGCAGCCCTCCAGGGCCGACTTTCGGTTGTCAGGGAGGGGGAAAAACACAGACACAGGTACTCGCCGATTCCCAGAACAGTATGGGGAAATATGGGAAGTGTATGGGGGGGGAATGCGAAGGTACAGGAGATACAGCAGAATATGGGAGATCCTGGGACTTGTGTTTATTTATTTTTACCTCTTTGTATATCCCTGGGCCCCTTGAGGCTGGGCCACGCGCCCTGGGCGAACTTCAGGGTCTGCGAGGCGCTGCGAGGAGTTCTGCCCCAGTGCGGCCCTCCTGTTCAGGAGATCCGCGATTATCCAGCTGCCTGCGGCAAGCCCGTCCCCGCCTCCGCGCCGGTGCAGCGCTGGAAAAAGCATTCGGGCAGGTGCTCCCGAGCTCGAGCCGTCTGGTCCGGTCAGGGTTGTCGTGGAGCTTTCTTGGGGCGGTCTTTGGCAGTCTGGGTCGGCTCTTGAGCCGTCCTAGGGTCGTCTTTGGGGGCCCTCATAGCCTTCGTGGGGCCGTTGTTTGGCAGAAGAGCGGGGGAAGTAAACAGCAGATACTCAAACTATGAGTCGTCAAGCTCAAACGTATAGCTTCGGAGGGCACTTCTGGAAGTTCCTTGTGTGCGTCTTCGGGCCTTCTTGTGGTTTCTTGAAGCTGACTAGCTTTTGGGATGTACTCGGAGCGGCTGGGGGATCCCACGCCCATCTGAGCCTGGCGTTAGGGTATATTGCAGCCGTCTTGAGGCAGCCTGGGGCTGTGATCGGTAGGTTTTGAGCGCGACATAGGTGCCAGAGACCAGAACTACGAGTGCCACGCTCTGAACGGGGGGTTCATACGTCCAGAGGGGAGGGTCGCCCATGGAAAAATACAGGGACCTACCAGGCAGCCGAGAGGCAAGCTAACATTCCCGAACGTGCCCAGGGCACGGTGGTGGATTTCGGCGAGATGACCGGCTTCTATTTCTTGTGGCTACACTTCACGACAGTGGCAATCGTGTGGGTTTTGCCCTTCGCCGTGTGCTTCGAAGTGCTGACGCAAGTGCACGACAAGCGCGAGACGCTTGAGCAGAAACGGATCATCGCAGCCGTCTATGTTGGTTCGGCGGTGTGTCTTTCTGTGTGGAGCCAGGTCTATATCAAGATCTGGTCGCGCAGAGTGAACCACTACAGGGAGCCCCTCCCACTTAAGTACTTCTTCCCCTTCGTCGTACTTCCTCTCCTCCTCCTCCGCCTCCTCCTCCTCTTGTCCTGACCTGGTTCCCGTTCGGTCCGGTCGTCGTGCCGCTCCCGTGCAGCACCATTATGTTCAGGCTGCCTCCTCTGATCGCCCCCACGTTGCGCAGGGGGAGATCACTGTAAACTATGTGAAGATTGCACTCGTCTTTCGACCACGCTCCACATCCTCCTCCTCCTTCTCAAAGTAGACCCCCCGACATCTCCTCAGAGCGCGTTCTGACCAGAATTTCTAAGCGGATCCGACCCTTTCGACGAGGGCGCCTACAGGGATCGAACAAAGTATCAACACGCCAAATTCCTCCGTCTCTCCTCTTCCCACCGTCATCTTTCCTCTGCCTGAGGAGCTGTGGGGCGCATCTCATCTAGACATGGACGATGCCAAGCGTCCAAACTACAGGGGTGACCCGAAGCCGAACCCGGTCAACGAGAATGTGCTCACGAAGGTGTGCAGCCGTTGGCTTTTTCTCCCCCCTCCCTCCGCCTCCCAAAGTCGTTCCGCGGGGGCTGTGCAAGCCGGAGGCGATGATTGAACCAGTGTTCCTTCCCCGTGCTCAGCAGGGGCGTGCACTGATGTGGAGTCTCGGGGCCACGTCTTCATCGCGGCTTCGCTGGCGGTGTTGACGTGCTCGCAGGTCTTCTCCAGTGCATGCTCTGATTGAGCCTCGGAGTCAACGAACCAGTCCAAACCTATTCATGATGCGACGTGCTGAAGTTCTCGACACGCGGTCCCCGGAAAGTCCCGATCCTTTCCCCAGGGCCAGTTTATCATTTTGGGTAATTCATGACGATCCCAACGCCTGTTGAGAGAGGCCGAACACTCTAGGCCTCCTGGATGGGGTCGGAGTAGTTGGGGTTGGAGGATCGCGCCGCATCGCCGATGCTTCGACGGCGAGGCTCGATGCGGAGCCCGATTTTCTCCACGCCGACGTCGCCGATGCGTCGCCACGCCGGCGATGCATCGCCGATGCATCGCCGATGCATTGGCGATGCGGCGCGATCCTCCGACCCCATCTGCTCAACCCCACGCAGGAGGCTTCCAAAGACAGCGAACAACCTCCCATCCTGACTTGCTCACAACGCGAGGAGGCCTCTGGGAAGGCTTGGGCCTGCGCACAGGCGGCCTTCGGAGGCAGGAGAGGCCAGTCTCGGCGGCCTCCCCCGCGTGGCTCCAGTGCGGCCTCGGCGCCCCTGGGGGCCCGTCGTGGTGCGCCGGGCCCCGAGGGTAATTACGTGGCATCTTCGGGAGGCCTCGCCTGTCTCGGAGGTGGACAGACCTCCTACCCTGACACGTCGATTAGTGAGTTGTCCGTTTTCGGTTCTCGAGAGGGCGCCGTGGCCGCTATTTTCCAGGCTTGCGCCCGCCAGGTTTGGGCCTCAGGTCGTTTTCACTAAACCACGTTTTACTGAAGGGATGTCTGTCCATCCCCGACTGTCCCCAGAAGTGGTGTCTCTTCCTTGTTCCCGATGCGGACTCGACGCGGACTTGGCGCGGATTCGGCGCGGATTCGACACGGATTCGGCACGGCTTCGACGCGCTCGACACTGATTCGACGAAGATCGCGGCGCGGCGGGGCATAGAAGGCCCCCCCGAAGGTGCAACGCAAGGGGTGAGATGACACCGCCTCGGGCGCACCTTGAGGCCTGTTGGTCACCACCTACCAAACCACCCCAACCCAACCCGAAGGCCTCAATTTGCCCTCCATTTCCAGTGGGGGGGTCGGGGAACGTTGAAAAAACACATGGAACCCGTACCCCCCCCAACCCGAAATTCGGGTCAAATTCGGGTCTTCGGGTTGGGTTGGGGTGGTCTGGTAGGTAGTCAGTTGGGGCCTGCCTGGAGCTGGCTCTGGGTCGCGGGCGGGAAACTTAAGTATCCACGCGGTGAGGGCATTGGATCAGGTATCATTGGAAAAGAAGTCCAGGGCCTGGGAGCTGGTGGGACTCCAGTCGTCGGGGACTGGCCACGGGTATCCCCGCCGCCCCTCTCAGAGGAGGAGTTCCCCCGGGTCTGAAGCCTCCTGGGCACTCCTGAGCTGACGCCCCCACCGTATCCTTTCCGTCCGTTTCTCAGTGCCTCTGTGGACAGGCCTCCAAGGGCGAGCAGGGGGCACAACTTACCAGCCTGGAGCATATCCCTATCCCTAGGCTGGGCATCTCCTCATCACGATGCCAGTCTTGGGGATTCCCTTCTTTTTTGAGGGCGCGTCCCTAAGACTGTCATCGCCTTTTGGCGTGTCAATCTTAGGGATAGGGATACGTTCGAGGCTGGTAAACAAAGGCCACGACAGCAGTTGCGTCCGCTCTGGCCGCTGCCCGCTGCTTCGAGTCAAGAGAGAACAGCGAGGGGGGGCGGCCGCTCGGGCCCTGTCGCGCTCTCCGGCCGCAGAGCGCCTTCGCCCTGGCATCGCTCGGGCGTGTGCATGTTTTCTCCTCGGCGAGGACCATCGAGGGCCAGCGCGGCGGGCCTTCGATGGTCCTCGCCGAGGAACAAACAGGCAAAGTTCATTAAAGATCCGCCCAGAGACAAAGTTCCTCTTCGATGGACCTCGCCGATGGCCCTCTTCGATCCGCCCGGAGACAACGTTCGTTGAACAAAAAAACACGCACGACACCGAACACTGCACTGGGAAGGGACGTCCGAGCGATGGCGAGCTGCTCGGATCCACGGCCTCTCGCGGTTCGGGGGTCCCCGGGCCGCGAGCCCATGGACAATGCGCGCAGTTGTCCGCGGATGCCCCGCGCGGAACGCATCCGTACGGCCGCGTATCCACGGGATCGCGTCCCAGAGTCGAGGCCCCGAGGGCGTCGATCTGCAATATGGACATGCCCCCAAGCCGTGCCCCACCCCTTCTCGTCCCCGCGAAGGTCCACAACCCCTGGTTCCGCCGGGGCGTCGCTGGTGTTGCAGTGTCGGTCACCACGCTGTTTGTCGGGATAGTGGTCGCCACAGTGTTGTGGATATATGGGCACCAGGATCAGCTCGGCGAATTTGTCACATCAGTCCTCCTCTCGGCGCAGATATCTAAAGGGTTTCGCCCGGTGCTGCCGCTGCTCCTCCTCAACGGATCCGTGGCTCGGGGCACTTGGGTTGTTGCATAAGTGCGTGGCCTTCTTGGGCTCGTCCCCGGCGTTGTGGCAAGGCTTGGGTCTCTTTGGGCATCCTGGTGCCGTCCTTGGCATCGCTCGGACGTGTGTTTTGTTTTTCCTTCGGTGAGGACCGTCGAGGAGCATCCTTGATCACTTCGCGAAAAAAAACACGCACGAAACCGAAAAAAACACAGGACATGGACGTCCGAGCGATGGCCAGCGCCTTCCAGCCATCTTGCGGTTCTCGTGGGGCTCTCTTGGGACCTCTCGAGGGTATCTTGAAGCCTCTGCGGGATACCTTGGAGCCACCGTAGGCAACCCTGGGCAACACTGAGACATTACTGGTGCCCTTGGGGGCCATCTTGGGACCGATTGCTTGGGAGCATAATGGGATCATCTTGGCACCTTGTGCAGCCATCTCTGGCGCTGCTGGTGGTGTTCTGTATGAGGGCAGCTTCGACACGGTCTTGGGACTACTTGGATTCGACAGCATGCGATGAACATGAAACAATTGTGGTATTTCCACGCGTTGTTGCTCCTGCGGGAAGATTTGGAGGGCTCCCTGGAGGCCCGAGGAGGCTCTGGGAGGCCCAAATAAGCTTTACGCTGCTTCAGAAGGCGTTAGTAGCCAAAGCTCGTTTTTTGGTAGGCCTTTTGTTTGACTCCCCCCTCTCCTCCCCTACTCTCTCGTGTCTTCCCCTCCCATTCCCTCCTTCGACTCCCTCCCATCTCATCTTTCCCCTTCACTCCCCCCCTTGCATCCCCCTTCCCCTTCGACTCCCTCTCTCCCCCTTCGCTCCCTCCCCCCTCCCCCTCCCCCCTCCCCTTTCACTCCCCCCCTCCCCCTGCCCATTCACCTTTCCCCTTCGACTCCCCCCACCCTCGGCTGCTATTCAGGGGCCGGCAGTGGTGAGTATCCTTTAAGTACTGGAACCAGTTCAGTACAGAGACGTCGTGCACACATGGTTGTCGTCGTGCGCGTATGCTGGCAAGGTCTGGGAAACACAGTTCACTACTGATAAGACGCCCTGCTTCTCGCAGCCCTGCGGTCGCAAGGGGCTGGCGGATTCATATGCCAGATCGTTTGGAACTACGTGTCGATTAAGTTGGTGGACGTCTTGAACCCAAGGACGGACAACGCGGCGAAGAACCTGCACGTCCAGGTCCTTTTCCCTTTTAGCCTCGTGAGCGCCTACGCGAACATATTCATGAAGTGGGGCCACAGCTCATCATGCTGGGACGTCCGTGAAGCGGATTGCACCAGACCCATGAGAGTCAGCCTGTACCAGGTGGTGCTCCCAGTGCTCTTTGCGCAGATACCGTCGATGCTGGCGCCCTACGCAATATACCGACTCAAGCTGTGGAAGGAGGCCATGAAGCTGAGGAGGAGCAGGGGCAAGGACGTCAGGATTGGCTTCCTCGAAGCGCAGGCCAAGCAGCCGCCGTTCAGGGCCCTAGACCACTTGAACTCCGAGATGAACCAGATGGCGGTCCTCCTCGGGTATGTCATGCTCTTCGGATGTGTCGCGCCGGGCATCTCCGTTGCTGTATGTTTGACCTTCCTGGTGAAGATCCGCATCGACGCATTCAAGCTCTGCAACGTCTACCAGCGAGTCATGCCGGCCAGGTGTGTTATGGACGGCATCGGCGCGTGGGACCAAGTGCTCAGATTACTTGCGTCCCTCGGCCGCGCCACGTCTCTCGCGATACCCATTCTCAATCTGGGGTACTTCAACTCCAAGCCAGAGGACGAGCCGCTGCTGAGAGCCCTCGGGGCAGGCCCCAGCGGCCTGACGCTTTTGCAGAAGATAGTACTCTGGTTCGTCTGCAAGGAGCTCTTGGATCAGACCGGAAAGCTGATCGACTACTTCGTCGACGACGTCTCCCATGAGACGCGGCTCCTGGTGAAGAGGCGCAGGAAGGTCACCACGACAATGAGGACGATGCTCCTCAGCAGGAGCATCGAGGGGGAGCCCCTGGCTGGGAGCTCGTCCCAGCGGAGCGGTCCCCCGGAGCTGGACCCGAAGGCCCGCGCGCTGCTCCAGGCGGCGGACGCCGGCGCTCAGAAGCACCTGGCCGAGCAGGATCTGGGGCCCCCAAGACAGCGCGGTGGTCACACCGTGCGGTGAGTCCGTGGGGTCTCGGAACGACCGCACGGCTTTGGGGCCCGGGGTCGTTGTCGGAGGACGCCGCGGGCGACCAGGGCCTCCAGGGTCCCGCGACGGTTCGGTGGCGGGCCGTGCGCGTGAGGTCTCTCCAGGGATCCCGACGTTCCCGCACGGTCCGTCACCTCAGCGTCTTGGCCCAGCAGGAGCTCTGGAGCGAGGTGGACCAGGACGCCGACTGCGGGCACCCGTTCCGCAGCTCCGGGCCGGAGCGCAAGGCGCCCGTGCAGAACGCATGGTTCCGGTGACTCGCGGCGGTCACTGAGCCGGGCCGTTGCCCCGTGGGGCTCGGCCGCGGCCCGAGGCACGCCGCATCCCCGCGGCCTGCCGCGAGATGGTGGGCGCGGCAGTCCCGTAGCCGAGCCGCCGCAGTGAGGTGCGCAGTGGATCTCGGGACCTCCAGCGCGCGCGTGCGCGAGTGCCCAGCGACCCGCCAGTGGATGCGCTCGACGCGGCTGCCGTCGGGGGGTCTGCGCATCGCTTCGCTGAAGCGGCTTGGACCGCTCTTCGCCCCGGCCGCGCGCGCCCAGAATGTTTGTGTGTGTGTGACTGACGGGCGGCGTGCCCAGAATCGGGGGCGGAAAAGAGGGGGGTGATGACTAGGGGGGGTGGACATCATGACGTGGGCCATGAGATCTCCCCAGATCTCGTGGCGCCTCTTCTTGTTTCATTGCGTCCCAGGTCCTCCCGCTGGGCCGCGCACATGCCGCCGGTCGTGCTTTGCACCCCCCCCCTCTTGGACACCCCCCTCTTGGCCGCTCCCGACAGGAGTGCCAGCGAGCCTTCAGTGCAGCGTCTCGCTGCCACGGTGCAACTTTCGCAGGCCTAGAGGTTGACACCAACACCAATTTCGGCGGTGTGCCTCCACCGAGGGAAGAAGATCCCGATCTCGGTGATGGTGGTAATTCATATTCTGGCTTCCAAGGTGGCCGAAGTATTACCACCGACACTGAAATCTAAGATCATCTTCCCCACGTGGAGGCAGCCCCCTGTGCTGGTGTTGGTGCAAATTTCTGGGCCTCCTAACTTGTCTGTGGCCATCCTGGAGGCTCTCCGCGAGGCGGGCGGCGGGGACCGCCGCTGCCCTCCGCCCGCCTCGCCACCGTGGGAGGCGCCGGGCGCCGCAGGAGCAGCAGCGGCGGCGAGCCTGCGCCTCCCCTGCGGGCCGCCCTCGGAGCGACGGGCGTGCTCTCCCTCCTCCTCCTCCTCCTCCTCCTCCTCCTCCTCCTCCTCCTCCTCCTCCTCCTCCGTCTCCGTCTCCGTCTCCTCCTCCTCCTCCTCCTCCTCCTCCTCCTCCTCGCTCTCCCTCCTCCCCGCTCCCTCCTCCCTGCTCCCCGCCCTTTCCCTGCGCCGTCTGGGGGACCGCCTCGAGCTGCGTCGCGCGGGAGGCGAGGGCCGCTCTCTCGAGCGTGCGCCCGCCCGCCTCCTCGCTCGGGGCCGTAGCGCCCGTGCGGCGCCGCGGCCACGGGCACCCTCTTCCCCGCGCGCGCTGGGCTGGCCGCGCGACGCAGGCCGGAGCAGCAGGCGCCGGTTTTTTTTTGGAGGGCTGCGCCGTGGCCATCCCTCGCAGGCCCAGAGGTTGACACCAACACCAATATCGGCGGCGTGCCTCCACCGAGGGAAGAAAATCCCGATCCTCGATCCTCGGACCCCGGCGCCGTCGATCCTCGGACTTCGATCCTCGACTCTGGGATCTCGATCCTCGATCCTCGGGCTTCGATTCTCGATCCTTGATCCTCGGCTTTCGGTCCTCTTAAGATCAGCTCTTTCTCCTCCCACATGCTGGCCTCTGGTAGGCAACATTTCTAATCCCCCCGCGACCCCGAACTTTATTATCCCTGTGGGATTAATCTCCGTGGGATTCGGTTAATACTATGGCTTCCGAGGTGACCGAAATATTACTACCAGCGCCGAGATCTAGGATCCTCTCCCCGCTGCGGAGGCAGACCCCTGTGTTGGTGCTGGTGCCCATTTCCAGGCTGCCATGTCCCCCCCTTCTCCGCCTCCTCCGCCCCCCTTCCCTCTGGGCCCCGGTGATGGTGGTAATAACCGCATGCCGATGATAATAAAGGGACCCCCCGCCCCTTCAGTGTTTAGAGTTGATTATCGTCGCCCTATACAAAATTCAAATTGGGCGGCGAGCGCTGAGGCCGAACTTCATTATCACCTCGAAACGCTATGTTGAGATAGCAACATCAAGCGATGTTGATATAGCAACATCAAGCGAAGCGATCACACTTTTTCAGGATGTGTCAAGCGAAACCAATAATTTCGGGAGGCAGACTCAAACGAAACGAGCAATGTTTCAAGGATGTCTCAAGCGAAACCAGCAATTCTGTGAGGATGTCTCAAAACGTGCTGAACTTGATTATCCCGGGGGTTGATTATCCAGGGAAAGTGAGGCACATGAGCTACCCTACACGAGCACTTAAAAACATCAAATTCCACAAAGCGTTTGTAAATAAAATCTAATACATTCGAAACTTCTTTTTTATATATATATATATATATATATATTTGTTCTCTTATTCTCTTCTTATTCTTCTCTTCTTCTTCCTTATTATTCTTCTTTCCTTCTCATCTTATTATTATTCTACTCTCCTGTTCTTCTTTTATATTTCTATCTCTCCCCACGCTCGCCTGAACTTGATTATCCCTGGGGTTGATTATCCAGGGAAAGTGAGGCACATGAGCTACCCTACACGAGCACTTAAAAACATCATTTTTCACAAAGCGCTTGTAAATAAAATCTAATACATTCGAAACTTGTGTTTTTTTTTGTTGTTCTCTTCTTCTCGTATTATTATCTTCTTATTCCTGTTTATTCTTCTCTTCTTCTCCTCGTATTATTATTCTACTCTCCGATTCTTCTTTTATATTTCTATCTCTCCCCACGCTCGCCTGAACTTGATTATCCCTGGGCTTGATTATCCAGGGATAATATTTTTTTTTGTTTTTTTTAGTATTTCCTCTATGTCTTCTTCCTTTCTCTCTGTTTCTCTATCTTTCTCCTCTTGCTCCTCTCCTGTATTCTCCTTTCCTCTCCTCCTCTCCTTCCTCTCCTGCTTTTCATTATATCCTCTTCTTCTCTCTCTCTCTGTCTCTCTCTCTTTTTTTTTTTTTTTTTTTTCTCTCTCTCTCTCTCTCTGGTATGAAAACTAAACGCCAAGGATGTCTCAAAACGTGCTCGGCTTGGTCTCCTCTTGATCATCTCTTACTTCGAGATTATGCTGAGGTCTGCTGGGCTACTTTTATTATCTCTCCCTGGACCCCGAACTTTATTATCCCCCAGTGTTTATTCTCACGGGCATGAGGTTACTCTGGCAAGGTGACCGAAATCTTCCCACCAGCACCGAGGTCTAGGATCAGCTCCCCCCTGCGGAGGCAGACCCCTGTGCTGGTGTCGGTGCCCCTCTCCGGGCTTCCAGGGCCCCCCCTTCTCCGCCTTCTCTCCGCCCCCCTTCCCTCTCTGGGCCCCGCGGCCCGAGCAGGTTTCAGTCGGGCACGTCCCTCCACGGGAGGCGTATCCCCAAATAGCCTAGCAATGCTACGGGGATGATCTGTTGTTGACTATGTTTAAGTTTTTTGAATATTTTCGTTTGACTATTTTTACGGTTTTTGATTATGTTGTTTCTTGGCTATGTTTGAGCTTTTTGAATATTTGTTTGACTGTTTGTTATGGTTCTTATTTGACTACTTGTTGTTTGAGCTTGATGAATGTTTGCTTGACTATGTTTGAGCTTTTTGAATAATTTGCTCGACTATTTTTCATGGTGCGTCCGAAATCCCCCTATACAGGGGGATAGGCCCGACCTACGAGCAGGTGGGCTCGGAGGATCGCGCCGCATCGCCGATGCATCGGCGAAGCGGCTCGACGTGGAGCCCGATTTTCCCCACGCCGACGTCGCCGATGCATCGCCGACGTCGCTTGTGCATCGCCGATGTACTGGCGATGCGGCGCGGCTCCCCCGCCCCATCTGCTCGGACCCCATCCGGGAGGCCTCTGCTCGCCCCTTCCATATAACCCTTCCTCTGGCCGCCCCCCACCCTCGGGCTGCGACGCTGCGCGTTGTCTTTGCTCTTGGCTCCCGCAAATGCTCCGGCTGCCGAAAGCGACGGACGCCGCAGCTGGCACTGTCAGCGCCTCATGTTGGTCAGGAGGAAAAAAAGACACAGACAAAATTAATCGTCGATCCCCAAGAAAATATGGGAATTGGGCGGGAAGACAAGAACCCAGAACATATGCGAAAATATGGGGAAGATTTTTATTTGTGTGTATTTATTTGTGTGTCCCAGGGCCCCTTCAGTTGGTTCAACCGCCGACCCGTGGCCCGCATCCTGTCGTTCTCCCCCGTGGTTCTGCCCCGACCTTCTTCGTCGCCTCCTCCTCCGACCTCTTCCGGCTGCACTGCGCTGGGAGTCCGGCGAGCCGGCGCGTCGGGCCACTCCTGGGCTCCATTGGGCGACCGCCCGTTGTGAGCATCTGGTGCCAGAATGCTGGGAAAGGCATGGCTATGGCTTGGTCGGTCGCTTGGTCGTCAGGCGTGCGTATTGGCAGAAGCCTGGCAAGTGTTGCGCCTACGTAGCACAGGCAGGGCCCGGGGGAGCGCAGACGATACACCTCAGGCCGATCCTTGCCGAGCCCATTGTGAGCCCAAGATCGGCGTATGACCTGTTGGCATGGAGGGGAGGTCGTACACACGGATCCTTGGCCTGGCCTGGACCGATGTGAGCGAACGCAGGCCATTCTCTGGAAATACGTATTTAGAGGGTCAAGGAGCCCGCCATAATCTCGACAATCTATGTCAACCGCGGTCATACCTCACGTTTCTAGCATGTTTTCTCATCGCGTGATGGACACCATCTGCCGCTGCCGTCTTCTAATGTCGATCTCGCTGTTGCCTGCATCGTCCAGCTGGCGACCACACATCTCCACGGGGGCCACTCAACACTGTAATCGTTCCATGTACATGTTATCCAGCGTGGGCCCGAAGGAATGTGTCTACCAATATGTGTTGTGTAATCTTTGCGGGGCGTCATCTGTGGTCCAGTCTATGTGGAACAATATATGTGCTGCAATCCACCCTGTAGAATTTGAAGTCGTCATCTCGATTGTTCGAGCAACCCCCCCACCCCCCCACCCGCAACTTTTTTGGCAAAACTCATGATGCGGGGGACGGCGGCGCCACCGATGACGACATCGATGGTAACATCCCCACTGCCGATGCTCGTCACCGTGAGTCGATGATGAAGGTGAGCATATCGATGATATTCGGACGTGAGCGATGACAAGAGGACCCCGGCAACGTCTGCGACAATGACGAAGATGGTACCAGCGACGACGATGTTCAAGAGGGCGACGGCACGAACGATAACGGCGCCAATGATGGCAAACACGCTGACGATGCTGATGTCCATCGGTCGGTGAGGCAGGTGACCGCGGTGATGCTGACAAGGTTGAAAAATCCGCGCGCGCGAAAGTTCAGCAAATCCGTCAGACATGTCATGCCCGCGCGGCGGTGCGCGCATGTGGCCCGCGTTTTTTTGTTTTTGTCGCAAGGCTTTTGCGCCCTCGGCGCATGACAGGAGTGTCGCGGGTGCACCGCGCGGTGGCATGGAACCGTTGGATTTGGCACAGTTCAGAAGAATCCGATGGTTTTTGCATGATTTTGAGCACGAGTGCGCGGACGGGACATTCTCAACATGTGCGTTGCGAGACCCTTGAGTTGTTTTAGGTTTGTATGCTGAAATGCTTACGAGCACAGTAAGTTTGGTGCGTATTGGCATGGACGCGCGCGCGATGACTTTGTGGTATTTTTCGACTGATGGTCATTGCAAGTTGTTTTCTTAAGATGAGGAGGTGCGCGCGCGTTTGTTTTTGCAGAGGATGGCGGGGGATGGGCGATGTCGGCCTGGTTGTAATAATGAAAATGCATACTTACAATGGGGCGACGGGGCAGAATCATACATAACTTGCAACACGCAAGGGCACCACGTTAATTCGGGGGGAGGGGGAGGGTCGATATTTTTGTTGTATAATGTAGGTGGTGCAATATGTTGTGTACTAACTATGTGGGGCAACCAATGCTGCAGTATCTACGCGATGCGGTGCAACATACGTTGTGCAACATGTATGTTAGCAACTTGCGCGCGTGTGCCAACTATGCCGTGCCATCTTCGTTGTGGCTTCTATGTGGTGCAACCTGTAGATAAATCTGTCGTGCAACATGCGTGGACCAATCTATGTGGTGCAATTAATTGTTGGTCGCAGTGAGTTGTCCACTGCACTGTTCGCGCAAACCTCCCACCCACCCACCCGCAACTTGGTTTGCAAAATCTCTTAAGACCGGACGGTGGGTACCACATGGCACTGTGCAACAACAGCGACGCCGACGACGACAGCGACAACGACGATGACGACGCCGCCGACAACGACTACGACGACACCGACGACGTCTCCAACGACTTCGACGACGCCGACAACGACGACGACGACGACGACGACGACACGACGACGACGACGACGACGACACCGACGCCGACGACGACGACGATGACAACGACGACGACGATGACGACGCCGACGACGACGGTAACGACGACACCGACGACGACGACGTCAACGACGCCGACGACGACGACAACGACGACGACAACGACTACGACGACACCGACGCCGACGTCGAATACGACGAAGACGACAATGACGCCGACGACGACGACGAAGACGACGACGACGTCGCCAACGAAGACAACGAGGAAGGAGGGAGGACGACGACCGCGACAACGACGACAACGACGAGGGAGGAAGGAGGACTGCGACGACGCGAACGACGAAGAAGGAGGAAGGACGGCGACGCCGACGACGGCAACGACGAGGGAGGAGGGAAGACGACGACGACGACAACGACGACGACGACGACGACGGCGACGAAATAGGAGGGACGACGACGAGACGCCGACGACGGACGACGACGACGACGAGGGAGGATGAGGAAGGACGACCACGGCGACAACGACGACGGAAACGACCACGACGCCAAAGAAGACGACGACGACGAACACGAGGAAAGACAGAGGACGACGTAGGCGACGACGGCGACGACAACGACGCGGGACGAGGGAGGACGGCGACGACGACGACGACGCGAGAGCGCGCGCGCACGCTTTCGTTGAAAATCCGTGTTGCGAAACCTTGTGTTTTTTGTAGGTTTTTTGGACACGATTTTGAAATCTTTCCGAAACCGATGGGTTTTGAAGGTTTTCGGCATACGCGCGCGACGGCACGCGCGTCTGCACTTCGTTTATTTTTTGCAAGGGATTCTCGCGACGGCACACGCGCAAGGGCGTTCGACAGATTTCGGCATGAGCGCGCGCAAAGCTTGTTTGGTAGCATTTTGTGGACATCTTGAAAAACCTATGGTTGTGTTAAGATTTCGCAAGAGCTTTCGCGGAAGTTTGTTTCGCAACTTCTGTATTGCGAAACCATGTATGTTTGTATGTTTTTTTGGAAACTCGATTGCGAAATCCTTCCCGCACCGAAGGTTTTTGAAGGCCTTCGGCATGCGCGCGCGACGACGCGCGCGTGTGCATTTCGTTTACTTTTTCAAGCGATTCGTGAAAGAAGTGTTATGTTAGAACAAAACATGTCACCGCATAGTGTTTTTTAACAAAGGAAACCTCAGGGGGGGGAAACCGGTTTGGTTGGGATGGTGCGATTCCATATCCAGGATGGACGAGTGTGCAGAATATGTATGAAATCATATTATCCCAGGGGGAGCCGATCAGTCCGGGGGGGGGTAGGGCTTATTTTTTTTTAAAAAAGGGAGAATTTACGTGGTGCGCAACATATGTGGTGCAGTGTATGTTGTGCGGTGACAACGACAACAGCATAGCCGCGACACCGCCACCTAGGCCCAGACGGTGGGCGGCGACGTGGCGGCGCCGGTGACACCGTAGCCGCCTGACCTGCACACAGGCCCAGACGACGGGTGATGACGAGGCGGCGGCGTGTCGGCGACGGCGTCAGCATAGCCGCCAGACTGCCACAGAGGCCCAAACGGCGGGAGGCGACGGGGCGGCGACGTGGCGGCGACGGCATCGATATATTTGCCAAACCGCCTCACAGACTATTTCGCCACCGCGTCTGGGGTCTGGTTGGTCCGGCTGGTCCGGTCCGACTGATCCGGTTGATCTTGTTGGTCCATTTAATCCAGTTGGTCCAATGGGTCTGGCTGGTCCAGTTGGACCGGTTGGTCCAATTGGACCCGTTGGACCAACCGTGGTTGGTCTATTGGGCCGGTTTGTCCAATTGGTCCGGTTGGTCCGCCTCATTCGGTTGGCCCGGTTGGTCTGGTTGATCCTGATGGTTTGGTTGGTCCCGTTGGACCGGCTGGTTCGGCTGGTCCAGTTGTTCCGGTTGGTCTGGTTCATCCGATTGGTCCGTTATAGGTCCGTTTGGTCCGGCTGGTCTGGCTGGTCCGGCTGGATCAATGCGTCCGGCTGGTCCGTTGACCCGGTCGGACCGGTTGGTCTGGTTGGTCCGGTTAGTCTGGTTGGTCCAGTTGGTCTGGTTGGTCCAGTTGGTCTGGTTGGTCCGGCAGGTGCGGTTGGTTCGGCGGGTTCGGGTCCGGTTGGTCTCGTTGGTCCCGCCCAGTTGGTCCAGTTGGTCCGGTTGGTCTTGTTGGTCTGGTCGGTCCGGGTGGTCCGGTGGTCCGGTAGGTCAAGGTGGCCCGGTGGTCCGGTTGTTCCGATTGGTCCGTGTGGTTTGGGTGGTTTAGGTGGTCTGCATGCATGGTCGGGTGATCTGGGTTCGGTTGGTTTAGGTAGTGGATTCGGAGATGGTAGGATCGCTATACTCGGCCAAGCTGGTCGGGTCGGGCGGGCGGGACAGTAATGCGTGGGACCGCATGGAAGAGGCCCATGCGCAGAGCACCAGTGGGAGGGGCTGGTAGGGTTATTGTGGGACGGGGCTCTGAGGTGCAGGGCGCCTCTCGAGCCGGGTCGGTTGGG